CGTATCTAAGGTTTATTATTCTACGGTACCGTTTCTTGAAGAAATTTGGTTTCAGTTGCTAGGCTTTATTTTTTTGTCTTTTTAAAAGAGACATTCTTGAATCGATTAGTTGGCGTTTTTATAATGCCTTTTTGAAATCGATTTTATGTTATTTATAATCCCACGTTAATTATGAGTTTAAAATTATCACCGTTACTACACAGTCATGAGTTGTGTGCGGTGCTTGTTTCTCCAGCGATATCTACCTGATGTGTAACAGACAATTACTACGATAAGATACTTTTGATACTATATCTCACACTGAACGCAAAGGCTTGGAGACTTTACAGTATTATCGCCCTGAACACAAAGGCTTAGAGACTTGAGAGTTTTATCACACTGAACACAAAGGCTTGGATACTTGACAGTATTATCACACTGAACGCAAAGGCTTGGAGACTTTACAGTATTATCGCCTTGAATACAAAGGCTTGGAGACTTGACAGTATTATCACACTGAACACAAAGGCTTAGAGACTTGACAGTATTATCACACTGAACACAAAGGCTTAGAGACTTGACAGTATTATCACACTGAACACAAAGGCTTAGAGATTTGACAGTATTATCACACTGAACACAAAGGCTTAGAGACTTGACAGTATTATCACACTGAACACAAAGGCTTAGAGACTTGACAGTATTATCACACTGAACACAAAGGCTTAGAGACTTGACAGTATTATCACACTGAACACAAAGGCTTAGAGACTTGAGAGTTTTACCACACTGAACACAAAGGCTTGGAGACTTGACAGTATTATCACACTGAACACAAAGGCTTAGAGACTTGACAGCATTATGTGATCAAGATGCAATATATGCAAACGATTGTTGCTTATAATGTAGAAACGATGTTGACATTCAGTTATAGAACATATTTTATATATAAGGGGTTATAAGAGAGAGGATATTCTTAGCACAAAGCTACATAATGGGCTATCTGTGCTCTGTCCACCACAGAGAATCGAGCCTTGGATTTAAGAGTGCAAGTTCGTAAACTTGCCGCTAACCCACTGGGCGACTATAAGAGAGAGAGAGAGAGATAGATAGATAACTTAAGATACAATTTGTTCTATTAATTGGAAGGAAACGTGCGTTTCATGTTAAACGTGTCATCAAGATGCTTATAAGAGAACTCTACTAAAGAACTTGAAACAATTAAACTGTATGGTGTAGATTTTTAATTGTTAAATATTGAATAGCACATCTATCATCTCCGTAAAAAGTGACTATATGTTAACTAAATTACATTTAAACATTTGTTTTCCGATCTCAATGACTATTTTGATTTACACCTCATTGAAGATTATAGGCATTCCTGCTATAAAAGGCATCCCAGCTATAACGTTATCTCCATGTTAAATTTACATTGCACAGAGAGCTAATAACAATTTTTAAGAACGATTTACATATGCCAATACGGCGGCGTGTTGCCACAGATACAAACCGTAACGCTACGGGAACACATTTAGCACGTATATGTTTGTTTCGTGGTGAAATCCCCGTTATTCGATAACGTAATGCCGCCAGGGATCGGTATATATGGCTGGAGGAAAATAAAAAGTTATTTCTTAGAGAGTTATTCGCATATCGAGATTGTCCAAAGATATAAGGTTAAAGGACACGGTATTTCAAACAATGAAGTCTTCAGTGCTTTTCATAGAAGCAGAGCATTTAGAACACCACATAGACACAAGAGCAACGTTCTTATCCGCAAAGTGAACATTATGTTTACGAAAGAACCCCCCCCCACCACACACACACAATACAAAGAGAAACCAACAACCAAATGAATTCATATTGTGATGAGTACGGGCATATCTCCTGGCACCATGAGTACGGGTTCCTGACACCACTAACACTGTAAATAAGGGAAGTTCACGAAAGGTTACAAGCTTTCAACCATATGAGAAAGATGGCCGAAGAAAGTGGAACCGTAAAAACTGTATTCCACTAAATTAACAGGCGAATAAACAGGGAAGAAAAGGGGAGCTAAATGAGCGATCGCTGAATACGATTTCCTGATATTTCTTACGTCCTCAAAGGGGCTGCGTTTACATTTCCTAGGCCAAAAAGGCCCGTTAAAACCTAGAAGGGCTGAGCCCACTCCTACCTTCATTAGTTCCTACGCCTATGAGGGGAGTCTATGACCCGGTACTTTCTCGATAAAGCTCAAATGTACTCTTTGTGTTTATGAATTGTTTAAACGTGGTCTTGGAAGTTGAAATACATGTTGATGGTCTGTGAAAAACGTCAAGAACCTTGTGTAGAAATTGGATATTGTACAAGAGTTTGTTTGTTTGTTTGTTTCTGAATTTTGTGCAAAGCTACACGAGGGCTATCTGCGCTAGCTGTCCCTAATTTAGTAGTGTAAGACTAGAGGGAAGGCAGCTAGTCATCACCACCCACCGCCAACTCTTGGGCTACTCTTTTACCAACGAACAGTGGGATTGACCGCAACATTATAACGCCCCCACGGCTGAAAGGGCGAGCATGTTTGGTGTGACGGGGATTCGAACCCGCGATCGTCAGATTGCGAGTCGAGCGCCCTAACCACCTGGCCATGCTGGGCCCCTTTGTACAAGAGTACATAATCGTGTCCACCAGAGTGAAGAAGAAGTTCTTAAGACAGCATGGGATAACACTCTGTAAACATCTCCGGTTTCCATTAGCATTTCTAAACGCGAGTCCGAACTATGACGTCACCTCCGGTCCTGATGAACATTTCGGAACGTGAGTCTGAGCTATGACGTCACCTCCGGTCCGATGAACATTTCGGAGCGTGAGTCTGAGCTATGACGTCACCTCCGGTCCTGATTGCATTCCGGAACGTGAGTCCTAGCTATGACGTCACCTCCGGTCCAGGTGAATATTTGGGAGGGTGAGTCCGAGCTATGACGTCACCTCCGGTCCTGATGAACATTTCAGAACGTGAGTCCGAGCTACGATGTTACCTCTGGTTTTGAAGATTATATTTATTTGTTCACTCTTTAGATGAGCATCTATGAACGTGAGTCCGAGCTATGACGTCATCTCTGGTCCCAGAGATCATTTCTAATTGCTCCCTGTTATGACTATCTCCGGTCTCGATGAGTATTTCTAACATTCCTTGCTATAATATTACTTTAAACATTCTTACTATGATGTCTTGTTGGTCTCAGTGGCCATTAAAGATTGCTAGGAAACTTACGAAACATGAAGACTGTGTGTGTATTCCAAAAGTGACTTTGTAGCGATATTGGCTCTTGGAGCAATTAAGTTGCTTTTATGTAACAACACGATAATTAATGTCGTTTACAAAACTTGGTAATATTAATTTTATGCAGTTTCTGGTTTATGGACTTCTTTCAGTTCAAACGGTTAATCCATAAGGTTGTTTGTTCAATTTTATTATTATGTGGAGAATATATCCATTCAATTCTAGATAAATATACTGTATTATAATATTCGTGAACAAATAGTTGTTAAACCACAACACAGTATTCGTGAACAAAAAGAGTTGTTAACCACAACACAGTATTCGTGAACAAAAAGAGTTGTTAACCACAACACAGTATTCGTGAACAAAAAGAGTTGTTAACCACAACACAGTATTCGTGAACAAAAAGAGTTGTTAACCACAACACAGTATTCGTGAACAAAA